TTTGGCAAGCAGAAAAAAAGTAGATTTTCTGTCCCCAGGGACAGAACAGGCTGCTCGCACGCTGTGCCGCACTGCCGGTGCGGGGGGGCACGTGTTTACCCACAGGGCTGGGAGGGGGTCTGTGTTCAACCCCCGTAAAATAAACACCCGAGAACCTCTATCCACACCTAACAGCTTGGGTGGAGATGGTAACAACCCCGTGCACGGGTTTAACTGCAGTTTGGAGCCACAGGAAAAAGACCTTGGAGATGGCAAGAACTCCTTTATTTCTGGGAAAAACACATGAAAGCAGCAGCAAGAGGCTCTGTCCCAGCCCCCCCTGCAAGTCTCAATACCAAAACCTCTCTCAAACTCCTCTCCACAGAACAGACCACACTTTATTGAGAAGATCTTAGGAGCTGCTTCTCCTCCCACTCCTGATTGCATGGACCACTTTCCCTCCCAGTTGCAATTATACAACATCCCTGTGGCAATTACAGCCATCGCTTGCAAGGACAAGTAACATCTGAGCAATATTCTGTGTATTTTTAGTGTTTCTGCAGCAGTTTGCAGCTGGGGAGAGGGAAAGAGCCAGCACCTCCAACTGGCCTGGGCTCAAGTCGCCTCCACCAAAGACTCTCTGCTGGGAAAAGCCATAACAACAGAATCACAGACTTGTTCTGGTTGGAAAAGACCTTTAAGATCATTGAGTTCAACCATTAACCCAACTCTTTCGAGTCCAGTGCTCAACCATATCCCTCAGCACCACATCTACACAGCTTCTGAACATCTCCAGGGGTGGTGACTCCACCACCTCCCTGGGCAGCCTGTCTCAGCATTTAACAACCCTTCCAGTGAAGATGTTTCTTCTAATGCCCAATCTAAACCTCCCCTGGCATAACCTGAGAGCACTGTCCAGCACAGCTGTGGGATGAGACCTGCAGGGAAGCTGCTGCCTGCACCAGGGTCAGCTGAGGAACTGGAGCTGGTTGTGAAATGGAGACAGGATCTGCCCCCTCCTCACACCAGTGTCTCAGGGGAAGCAGCACCAGAGCAGGAGGGAGCAGAGCAGCTAAAGGGTGGATCCAAGGTGCTGAACACTCCCTCCCACTAACTCACGGCAATCTTGGCAGGGATTTCACCCCTGGAAAACGGCCACAGTGACGTGCCCATGATTTCACAGCAGAGTGGGAGAGGAGCTCATTCCCTGGCTTCTGTGCTCCTGCTGTCTGGGAAGCAGCTCCTGCCTGCTGGGGAGCGGGTGGGACATCCTGGAGGCCAGACCTGCGAGCTGGGGTGGGGGGATCTCACTCTCTTGTGCCAACTCTGGGTGGCAAGGAAGACGTCTGGGCTGAGGGAAGGCAACAGGGTACAAAAGGAGGGCACAGCAAGGCCCACAGAGCAGGATGTCTCATGAAAGAAAACCAAACTATTCAAGCTTTAAATAAGCAGCAAATTACCTTGTTTCCACCAGCATCTTCCCTGCTTTCCCATAGGCATGAAATGCTGAAGAGGGAAGAAAAAAAAAAAAAAGAGAGAAAAGGCAAAATCAGTTGTAGTCACTCAAAGAAAGGTCCAGAAGGTGGCACATGCACCAGTTCAGCATTAAGCAGCAGAAGGGACACAGGGTAGGGCAGCAGGAACCCACCCATGCTGGGGTTTGGGGCCACTTCCCTTGCTCACCCTCCCACTTTATTTTTCAGACATGCCCTCTGCAAACTGAAAACCACATAAGACAGGAGCAAAGATGAGGGAAGGACAGAAAGCAGGTTCTTTTTTCTTTTTTTTTTTTCCCCTCTATTTAGAAAAAAAAAAACCCCACCAGTGTGGTG